GAGTATCCCTCACAAGCAGCATACAAGGGTTGATCAGCTGCTTTTAAAACATCTTGAAACCTTTCAGCTAAACCTTCATCCACATAAGGTTCATAAAATATCGGATTTTCATCCTCATGTGGTTAATACGAGGTCGAAGCTTCAGGAGGATCGTTAGATGGTTGTGGGGGGTTGAACTGAGACATCGATGCACCGTATGCGTCATATACCATACGTTGCTCCCATCTCATTTCAGCAGGGTCTCCCCACGCACTCATCTCTGCAGGGACGTTACGAGACGAACCTACCGTTTGTGGTAAAACAGATGGATCCAAAGGTTCGCCATGAGAAGTCCAATTGTAATAATTGGGAAGGAAACCGTCCGCGTACAAATCCCACCCAACTTCTTCTGGGTGTTTAAATTTGAGATTTTTACACTTTGAACATGGACATCTGATTTTATCACCACTCATATAAGCCGGATGTTCAAGTGCGAATTTAATAAACTCCTCAACTCCTTCAAGAAAATTTGATTGCATTCCGTACAATACCGCATGTTTATCATACATCCAAATTCTATTTTGTCTATACATTATGCCTGAATATTATCATAAAAAAATTATACAGGTTAAAAACTCTAAATTATAAACATTACCAACATATTATATATGTGGAGTATTATTAATATATTAAAATCAACTAATTCCCTTAAATTCCCTTAAAATTAACGAATTCCCTTAAAATTAACTAATTTCCTTAAATTTCACTAAATTTCACTAAAATTCCCTTAAAATTAACTAATTCCCTAAAATTCCCTTAAAATTAACTAATTCCCGTAAAATTAACTAGTTTACTTAAATTTCACTAAAATTTCCTTAAAATTAACTAATTCCCTAAAATTCCCTTAAAATTAACTAATTCCCTTAAAATTAACTAGTTTCATTAAATTTCACTAAAATTCACTAAAATTCCCTTAAAATTAACTAATTCCCTAAAATTCCCTTAAAATTAACTAATTCCCGTAAATTTCACTAAATTTCACTAAAATTCCCTTAAAATTAACAAATTCCCTAAAATTCCCTTAAAATTAAATAATTCCCTTAAAATTAACTAATTCCCTTAAAATTAACTAGTTTCCTTAAATTTCACTAAAATTCACTAAAATTCCCTTAAAATTAACTAATTCCCTAAAATTAACTAATTCCCTAAAATTAACTAATTCCCTTAAATTTCACTAAAATTTCCTTAAAATTAACTAATTCCCTAAAATTCCCTTAAAATTAACTAATTCCCTAAAATTAACTAACTCCCTTAAAATTAACTAGTTTCCTTAAATTTCACTAAAATTCACTTAAAATTAACTAATTCCCTAAAATTCCCTTAAAATTAACTAGTTTCCTTAAATTTCACTAAAATTCACTAAAATTCACTTAAAATTAACTAATTCCCTAAAGTTCCCTTAAAATTAACTAATTCCCTTAAAATTAACTAATTGCCTAAAATTTCACTAAAATTCACTAAAATTCACTAAAATCCCATTAAAATTAACTAACGTCCAATAATTAATATTATTAAACTATAAACATGCACAATACGTTAATGACATTAATTTAATACACAATACTAAAATTATCAACATCTTAATCTTATTAATAATGCACATTTAACAATTTACGTACTAAATTAAATAATATGAGCAAATTCAATAATTTGAGCATATATATATAATAAACACATTTAAATTAAATTAACTAACCCTAATTTAAATCATTATTAATCCTAAATTAGGCCGCCTTAATTAACAGTAATTGCCAATATAAAGAAATCATATACTTATATTTAATCATATATATATATATATATATATATATATATATATATATATATATATATATAAAGTCATTTGAATTAAATAATACTTACATTTATTAACTAATATTAATAATATGCATTTAAATTATATTTAATCATATATACTTACATACGTATTTAACTAATTTACGTAATTTTAATCCTATATTTTAAAATTAATAACATATGTATTGCCAATATTATATTTAATAATATACTTACATATGTATTTATTAACAAATTTACATATTTAACTAATTTACAAAAAATACGTAATTCAAATTACACACCTTATCTGCATAAACAGGAAAAATGATATGAGATGGGTAGATTACATCCTTCAATTCTATCTGGAGTACGTAGAAGGTGTGATTTTGTTGAATGAGGCCGAGGCTGCATATATAAATTTTGTAGTCATGGACTTAGTGACGGATGTGTCCGTGACTACATTTTTTTGTACGAATTGTCGGTGCACTTTAAATTTGGAACGTTGAAAAAATCAATTTTGGACGTGTCACGGAATTAGTCACGGACACGTCCGTGACTAACCGTAGTCACGGTACTAGTCACGGACTTGTCCGTGACTAATTTCAAATTTAAAAAAATCCCGCCGGAGGTGAAAATGGGTTGGCCGGAACACTTTAGTCACGGACTAGGTCCGTCACTACCTCTAGTCACGGACGTAGTCACGGACAAATCCGTGACTATTTTTTTTTAACGATTCCGTGACTACACCGTGATTAGAACCGTGACTAACTAGTCACGGATCAAATCCGTGACTACGGTCCGTGACTACAGGCGAATTTTTTTGTAGTGCTTCCACGTGCCTACCTTTCGGACATTGGCCAGCGTGTCTAGGCGCTCAACCCGTTGAAAGCCTATTTCTCCTCACGCTCGATCTTAAGGTGCACATGGTTAGATGAGGGTGCCTCCTCTCAGGTAGTGTCCCGAGCGACGATGTTCTCGTCATTACTGATTTGCATCTAGTTGTTATTTACCAAGAAAGTGGTGGTGGTGGTGGTGGAGGAGGAGGTGTCAGGTTCTCCCCGTATGGAGGATGAGGGCATTGAAGGATGTCGGGTTCTGAGCCAAGTTGGTGAGAATGACATCGAGTGTAATCTGGAAATTGATGGATGGGGTTGTTTGGTGACATGGGTTGGGCTCACTTCTTTTCTTGCGCTTCCCCTAAATCCCGATGCGGGCATCAAACACGTTCTGCTGGATCTGGTCACAAAGGTCGACAACCTGGTCGACTTCATTCTGGACGAGGGTGTTCTGTGCCGCACTCTCGCCATGTATGAGGTCGTGGCATTTCCAGACTTCTCATGTCGAGTCCGAGGGTCCTGAAGAGCCTGAGCGCCGACAACTTACTTGGAACCTCTAGTATTTCCCATTTCTAAGGTGTTAGTAATGTTTAGTACTAACGATGGTACTAAATGATTATTGTTTTTTCTCCCAACGAGAGCACTAAATGACAGTTCAATTCATTGGAATATCGCTAGTGGTATCTAGAGAAAAGAGTGAGCTGAGAGTAGAGAGAGAAACACATATGATAATAAATGACTTTTGAACTATTTACATCTGACCCAAGGGAGCTATTAATACTAGTGATGAATGGTAGGCGCATTAAATGCATTTATACGTGTAATCTAGTCTATGCGTGAGAGTCCTTATGTGTGACTTCATTAGTCATTCGCACCGTGTTTGGACGAGGTAATCTAGGATTAGGATCGGGGCCCTCACCAATGCGGGCCTTTTGCCTTGAGTTAGTTTATGCCTGAATGAGGTGATGGAGGCTTTGGGTCATTTGTATATATATTTGTATGCGGACCATGGGCCATTATACTCTATTTAGTGCATTGGCGCCGATTGGGTGGTGGAACATAGACTAGGAATGTAAGCTTAAGATAAAAAAAATTAATTTAATCAGATAAAATATAATATCAGAAGGGTAAACAAAATTGACATGAATTTAGAATTAATGACCTCCACATTATCATGAGACTTTCTAATTCCAAAAATGTTGCCTTTTTTATTTTCCAAAAAACTGACCATCTGATAATGAAATCAGATTAGAAAGCAACGTATGATCCCCTTCCGGACATAAGTAGACCAACAGATCAATCTCCCAGCGTCACTTTTACCTTTCCACCTTCCAGCGCCTTCGACCATTTTCCCTACGCCTGCAGTCGTCGAAGTACGTCAAGGCCACCGTCAGAGGACCTCACAGCCGCACACCATTCGATTAGCCCTTCCTTTTCTCCCCTTTCTGTCTAGCCGCTCGGATAGGGCGAATTCTCAACAACCTAGCGCGGAGGGAGCGAATATGGGGCGAATTAGACGACGATGGGGCAAATATGAGAGAATCCAAGCGAGATGGAGGTGATGGCCTTCATGGTGGGGAAAAGGCGGCTCGTTGGTCGGAAGATCTGTTCTCGGATCTCATGGATTGTATTAACGACCGTATTCTATGTGTCGATCTTCGAATGAAGGGGTAGTGGCAGCCGAGTGGATTTAGATCTGGATTTGAATCTGTGATTGTTTTAGGGTAATGGAAGGGGTAACGACGGTTGAGTGGCGCGGTGGTGGCGGTTGTGGGCTGGTGGCCGGAGGTGGTGTGGGTGTTGGACAATGGCCGGATGGTGGTGGACAATAACGGCAGGGTGGACTGGTTGAGACACTTGGGTTACCGGTGGAGTAAAATGACGCGGTCGGCGGTAGACGATGGCGGAGGGTCACAGAGGTCGTGACCGGTGATGGTAGTCAGCGGCGGACGGCGGTAGTCACTATAAAACAGGGTGGTGGTGTCATTGTGGGGGCTGGGAGCTAGCGGTCGGAGTTTATGCAGCGGAATAGTCACCGGAAAATTTTCTGACGTCATAGTGACATGTCTTACGATCGTAGTGACATTCAAAAGTGACATATTACAGTGACATAAAAGTCCGATAGTGACATATAACAATGACATAAAAATTTTGTAGTGACATGAAAAATGCAGTGACATCATGTTTTTCAAATATGTGACCTTCTTAGTCAATTTTTTGTCCCTTTATAAAAATGATCACATTTTTGGAAATAAACTTCAATTTGGTAATATTGAAGGAAAAAGAATAAGAATATTTCAAATAAGCTAAATATTTTTTATTGGGACGCCTTCACTTCTTCAATATAATTCATTTATTCAAGTTTACATATCAAGTCAGTGTCTGGATGATTCAATTTCAAATTAAATAATCCAAATAGTCGTACATGTGTGACCTTAAAAGTTAATAGGCATAGGCGGCTAGCTTAAGGTCCTTTAATTATTACAGAAAAATAACTTTAAATAATATTACATGAACTATCACTCATAAATTAATAACAATACCCACTTTTGAAATAATTTTTAACTATTTGAATATATAAATCATCTAGCTCATCAATAACTTATATCATTTCAAAATGCACATTATCATTTGTTTAATTATTAGTGATGGTCATTACTTCCTCCGTTCTTAAATAAATGCAACGGTCAATATTTCACATTTGTCGAGACACAATTTTGATCATTAATATAAATGATTTTGTATTAGTAAAAAAATTAAAAAAATTAGATTATGAAAATTTACAATGAGATCGAGACAAGTTTAACAAGATTTTTTTCATAAAATAATATTATTACATTAATAAATAAAACGTAATCAAAGTAGAACATGTGATAAGTGTAAAAGTCAAAGTGTTGCATTTATTTAAGAACGGGGGTAGTATTATTTTTCAAATTTATTTTCCCAAATATTATTTAATGTGTTGGAGATGTCAAATTCCTTTTTCTGCTCGGCTGGTCACTCTCACCACGCACAGTGCCGGCCAGTTTCTTGAGTGATTTGTGAAAGGTTTGAAATGCTGCGTTGCAGCCTTTGGGCGGCGGAAGGCGGGCGACGTAGCAGGCGATTCTGTCGACATACCATCCGCTCCGCCCCTTGAAGCCGATGATCCTACTGCCTCCTTTAACGGATAATGAAAACGGCTTTCCTTCTTCCATCCCGAATGGCCCATATGTTGTCCTATTGCTTGTAAAGGTGAGAGCCCGTATCACAAGGCTTCCATGGTGTTGTCCATAATATCCCCTCACACTTATTAGGTATTCCTCTGGATATTGTAGCTTAACCTACATGCATCAATATTAATTGGAAGTGTATAGTAGATAGTATATAAATATACTCCGTATATACTAACTAATACTACCTCCGTCCCATAAAATAAGTCTCACTTCAATTTGGATCGGAGTTTAAGAAAGTGAGAATAAAGTGAAAATTTATGGTTGTGGTTGAGTAAGAAAAAGGTAAATGACAGTTAGCCACACAAAACTTTCCAAAAAGGGAAATGAAAACAATTTTTTGGGACGACCCAAAAAGGAAAGTAAAACTTATTTTATGGGACGGAAGGAGTAGACCAGAGTATATATGTTTGGTAAAATATAATGTGAAATAATAATATTGTATATATGACAAATGTAGAGGCTAGCTTAAAGAATTTACACATATAGTTTAGTTGATTATTTCATGTTAATCGTGTATCACTTTTTAAACACGTCAAATACTACTCCGTATCATGTAAAATGTTTTATACTCCAATATTACTAAAATACATGTGTATTCCGAATATATGACTGCATACTTCTTTTATCTCTAATCAAGTGACTTAGATTAATTAATTGATAATGAGATAGTAGGCTTATGTGAAAGTGTGAAACATGAAAGTGGCTAAAAATGGGAAAAAACATTACCGTGCATGAAAGTGGATGGTAACATGCACCATTTTGGCTAAAACACAGGTAGCCATAATAGGAAAATACATGTCTTAATTTTAGTAATATTAGAGGTAATTAATTTATCTAAAATACTTTTCTTTCTTTAATTTCCTAAAAGAAGGCAATTACTTTTTCCCAAAAAAACAGTGCAATTACTATGCATGTAATTTAAATATAAAATACACATTTAATCAAATAATATATTTTTAAATTACAACGAAACTTATTTTTTCATAAACTTTGCATGTAATCATTTTGCACATAAAGTTTTAGGGAAAAAGGTCATACCCTTCCACTATTTCCAATACATCACTTAAGTCATTTTACTAAAAAAACATCATATTGATACTCCTACTTTTTAAATACAACCAATCAAGCCATTTTGACCTTCTATTGCATGTTAATTTTTTTAAAAATAAATTAGGAATATTGAAAAATGTTATAATAATTCATATAATTTTGGAAAATAACATAATAATAATATAAAGAATAGCATAATTGTAAAAATAGATAAATAATTTTAAAACGTTAAATTATGATTATTATTATTATCATATATTGTTATTATCAGTGTTATTATTATTAATTTTATTATTATTATTTATATTATTATTGTTTTATTACTATTACTATTACTATTATCACTATATTATAATTTTATAATAACTATTACTACACATTATTATTATTCTAATATATTTGAATAACTTTCGTATCGAATATAATTTCAATATTCATATTTATATTTGCTGGTAAGTGTGCGAATAGAAATTACTATTTCTATTTGTCTTCTTATTTGAGTTTTTTGAATTCAAATAGTCGTATACGAATTCGAATTATGAATTCAGCGCATTATATTTGATAAAAGCCGTGTCTGTTTGATAAACGCATACCATTTGATTTTATTTTGTTTTGTATAACAGTCTGATGCATATAATTAATATTGAAAACTATATATTTCCATCAAAAGGTACTCGATGTAGCTTCTAGAAAAAGATCTGAATTAGTGCATGTTTCGTTTGATAAACACAAGACCATACATCCAAACTATTCAAAAAGTTTCTAAAAGTTTGTAAATGTATGTTTGGTACACCAAAGTTTAAGAGCTTATTAAAAATGAATTATCTTTTGTGAAAAGTTACACCGAGTAGCTTTTGAGAAAGTCTTTAACTAGTAGCATTAATTATCTTGTAGCATTATACTAAGGAGGGTTTGACTTGTACTTAATTTCAGTAGTAGACCAGACTAGATTACACCAGATCAGACTTAAATAGACTCTAATAGACTAGATCAGATCAGACTAGACTTTAATAGACTAGATCTGATTCTTGTAGTTTTAAAATACACACAGATCAAACATCTATCAGACCATACCAAACCAAACCAGTTCAGACAAGACCAGACCAGATTACACCAGACTTTAACAAACTAGATCACACCAGATCAGACTTTAACAGACCAGACTAGACCAAACCAGACTAAACTTCAGTAGTTAAAAAATATATACAGATTAGAGACCAAACATCTAGCAGATCAGACCAAACTAGATTTAAACAAACAATACAAGACCAGACTAGAAAGTTCGATCCAAGTAAAAACACCCTAAGTGCAACTAAATTAAAGGGAAAAGGGTCAAAAAAGACCCTTTTACTATTACGGAATCGTCACATAAGGTCATGTACTCAATGAAATGCAATATAAATACGTCTACTTATAAAAATCAATCAGATGAGTCAAAATGATCCGTTGAAAGCCTTCTATTCCTGATTTTAGCTTACGTGTCGTTACTTTTGCCTTGTATTTAAGCCAATCATGGGCAAATATTCCACGTCAACCTTATAATCTATTTTAAATGATAGCGAGTCGTACACTAAAACGGGATTACTATACGAGATTGTCAACAGGTCGTTAGGACTCATCTAATTGCTTTTTGTGTAGACGTATTTATATGACACTTTATTGAGTACATGATCTTATGTGACGATTTCATAATAGTAGAAGACCTCATTTGACCTCTTTCTCTTCTAAATTAAAAAGTCAATTTTTATCAAATAACTACAACAGTTTCATTTTAAGAACTTTCAACCACTAAAAGTACTCCGTACTACATAACAGTTACTAAAATACTTACAAAAGTATGATTTCATTTGGTTGTACCAAAAATACCCTTATTTTTCAAAGCATCTTAAAATTGTTGTGCGACACATAGAATTAAGTAGTTTACTCCCTCCGTTCCTAAAAATTCTTCCCGGTTTGACTTGGCACGCTTATTAAGAAAGTGGAATAAAGTGGAAATGTATGGTTGTGATTGTGTAAGAAAAAGGTAAAATGAATGTGAGCCACACAAATTGTCCAAAATGGGAAAGTGGGAAGTATTTTTGGGAACAACCCAAAAAGGAAAGTGGGAAGTATTTTTGGGAACAGAGGGAGTATTTTTTTATAAATAGTGTAAACGTTTTTTCTTTGAAAGATTAGTAATACGGGGTATGAGGTTATGTAACTTAGCCCTAAGCTGGACTAAAAAATGTCCTAAATGTAACAATATGGTTATAATCCTTTTTTTCAAAATAGAGGTAATATGTTTTTCTTCTCCCTGTAATTTCTAATATATATACAGGTATTTATTTCATTAGTAAGATAATCATAGTTTTATTATAATAAAAATATAAAAATATTAAAAATATCTATAAAACCAGGCATCTGAATTGAATGAACGCATATACTATCTATTACCGTTGTGACTTGTGGTTTTGACACCACCATGGCACCATCTTCTCCATGTTTTCCAGCAGGAGATGCTTTGCCATGCTTATCGTAAACTACAGTAATGGAGTCGATGCAATGGTCGTGAGCCACTGTTATCTCTCTTATTCCATCGTAAGAGCTCCCATCATCCCATTCACGGCCTCCAGGCCCACCACACGGCCCAATTTCGGTTATTTTCGTCTTCGTGCTCGTTCTCGCCGCCTGCATATATATTATTAGGAGGAATATGAAAACGAGAAACGGAAAACGAGAAACGAGAAATCAAAGAAGAACGAACCATATAATTAGAGAGTCTCTATAGAGTTTCTGAAACGAAAATGTACTATTTTTCGAGAATTCTCTTATATGCTTAATTGCTCATCACATTATATTGTTATTATAAACGTATAAACTTAAGGGTGTTTGGATCTACTTCATAAAACCGTTTCTGCTCCTTCTAGACATTGAATGATTTATGTGGAAGTGCATAAGTACTTCCGAGAGCTCGAAATTGCTTATAGAACAACTAACAAGTGTCTTGAAAGCTGCGCGAGACCAACTTCTCAAAAACAAACTAAAAGAAACGCATAGGTCAATTCAAGATAGAATCAGGGTACCATGTGAGTTGATCCAAGAAAATGAAGAAATAAACAGATGAAATCAAACCGCCAGCCGATTTTGAGCCATCATATCAATAATGAATAAATAAATATTGGTTTCTATATAGATATAATGAGCAATGCAAGTGATGACTTTATAGAACCAAGTGTCTTAGGAACTATGGAAGGTGATGAAATAGATCGAAGGAGAAGCAGTAAGATTCGTTTGGAGAGCATAAAATATGTGTTGTGGCATCATATAATTGCCTTTTTCTATGGTGCATATTAACTTTTCTGTCTTATGTAAGATGTAAGAATCGGATACTACGTACTGGAGTATGAAGCTAGGCCGGTCTTCTATCTTTGACGAAATATTATATTCCTCTACCTCCACTTTATCTTTAAGACTCGGTAAACATGTTTGATACATATTTAATATTTTACAAATAGTTTAATGACTTAAAAGAGAAATATTAATCGCTATAAAAATAATTATTTCAAAAAAAATACAACTATAAAAATAATAGTGATTACAAATTAATAGTTAATAATGATGTTTTAATTTCTATTCCTACTCATACAATCATACCGTAGGTGAGAGCATCTGCGACACTGGAGTAAATGAAAATGAAATGACTCATACAATCATACGACAAACATATGATATATATTCGCTAAGAGAGTGCCCACACCCATTTATTAGGAGTTCATGTGGTTCAGTACTTTCATCACACTTTAGCCTTCACAGTTCAAACCCAACCCACTTTTAAATATTTTGGATAAGGGTTGTTATCCGAACTTTCCGGGTTTCCGGGATTATATCACCCGGGTTCGGACGGGTCCTCGGGTAATTCCGGTTTTGACAAGGTTAGTGAGTCAAAGGTATATTGGACCGGTTGGAATGTCGGGTTGCGGGGTTCTGGGTCAACCCGTCCGGTCTGATGGAAGTTTTTGATGAATTTTTGTGAGAATGTTCATTATGAGGTGTAAATTATGTTCAAAATAGTTCAACTTAAAATTCAATCGGAAATTCAATCGGGAAGTGAGTTAAATATATTATTGAAAAGAATTGTGCATGCCTTATATATATAAACAACGTAATGTTTTTCAATAGTCTATTTAACTAACATCCCGATTGAATTTCAAATTAAAACTTTGTGAACATAATTTACACTTCATGAAGAACATTTTCACAAAGTTTCACCAAAATATTCCAACAGGAACCACCTCAAACGGTGAATTCCACACATCGGTTCTCATTAGGAGCTCCTGACATGAACGGAGGTTTGTCAAATGGGGCAGAGGGTTTATCAAAAGGGGGTGTACCAAGTTTTAATTTAAAAATAATTGCATACTTGCTCATAATATAACAAAGAAATTTGGTCAGATCAAAATATTGCATTCTTTCAAAAATAGGATTATATGTTTGTTTTTCCTCTAATATGAATAATGATTCCATTTGTACCCCTATTTTAAGAGAAAATTCCTCAAATAAGAGTAAAAACGTTTTGTAATTCCAAAATAAAATTGTCATGTTTTTATTATCTAAAAATGAGTAAGTATTGTCAGATTTGCATCTGATAGTGCGAAAGTATGACATTAATTACTCCTATTTTGAGAATAAAAACATGATAATCCTATTTTGAAATTCAAGAGTATTTTTACTCATTTAGGACAATTTCTCCTAATTAAATTAATTATTTAAATAACCTAATTAATTTCCCATAGTTCCATTGCATAATTAAGGTCAGTTCATTGGTGGTGGATCAGTCCGTGGTGGCAGCAACATACTCCGACTGCGGTAGAATTCTAGCAGGTCTTCGAAAATTTTCTAGAAAAAAATACAGTGGCGGCCGACGGTCCGGTGACCTAAGGGCAGCAGTGGTCTAGCACTATGAGGGTCTTTTGACCTAAGCACAAACAAAAGATTCTATTTAAGGCATTATAAATAGTAGGTCCTAATTAGGTAAGTCTCCCAAAATAATAAAAATAGAATGAAGAGATAATTCACCAAATAGGAGTAGAACATGTTAGAAGTGCAAAAATAGGAGTATAGGTTCTTAAGATTCCTGAAAAAGGAGTTTTTTTTACATGATTGGACACGATACCCTTGCAGGGGTATTAGCCTTGCCACTGCCACAGTGCCGTCGCCGCCGGTAGCCGGAGCTCATGCAGAGCAAAAGTCATTCCAGATTTCGTCACCACCATTTACCGTCGGCGGTCACCGGAGTTTCACTTAGGGATGGCAACGGGGCGGTTCGGGGTCGGGTATACCATTACCCGTACCCGCCCCGTTTGATAATAATTTTCCCCGAAACCGCCCCGTTACCCGTCGGGTATTTTTTATCCGTGGACCGTGGGTAACGGTTTTCCCCGCGGGTAACGGTTTCCCCGCGGGTAACCGTTTTATTAAAAGATATTTTTTTTTTCTTCAAAATTAGTAGAAATCCTAAAATGATGATTAACAACTTATAATTGACCACCTAAATTAAAAAAATCAAAATTAAATAGCACCACATATAAAGTTTTTTTTATCAACACATAAAGTTTTTTAAAACATCACAAAAAATTACAATCGTTTGAACCTAATATTCACAAATTATATATGTCTAGATTCAAAATTATGAATCTCTTACCACATCAACATCAAAAAATTAAGTCTTGTCTCGATAGTAAAATCTAAATATGAATCACAAAATTATTTAACTTCCAAAAATTCAATAATCATACCTCACCAACATTCAACATCTAAATTTAAGAACAGTAATGTATACAAGTAGCATAATGAAAATGAGAAGTTTTTTTCCTAAAATATTAGTAATAAAAAATATATGGACATAAATGTGACTATAAGTTACTATGGGTAAGTTTTATAGTCACTATGATATAATAAACACTAAAGTTACTAGAGTCACATTTTTGTCCACAACTTTTATTTTGATTATAGATTTGGAATTATTTCTAAAAAATGTACTTCTAATACTATGATTTAGGTATTTTTGTAGTTACTGTTTTAGAAACCTCATAATTTAAATTTAAAACTTGATATAAATTAGAGCAACCAATCAAAATTAATCTAATCATTCAATACACCTCTACAAAATTATTAGCAATTACATAAATTAAAGCAATCTAGAGTAATGTTTCCCAATATTTGGACTTTAAACTCATATGTGAGCTTTATGAAAGTTATTGGGTGAAAAATTAAGAGTCACAATGTGAAAATTGTGTACGGAAAATCACGAAAATCAAATAATCAATATGTGAAGAAAATAAATCTTGTAGAAATTAACAAAGGAAGGATGATGAATGATATTGAAAATTAAAAATTTAAAGTAGTGAACTTTGAGCACCAACTCCTCAAAATTGCAAAGGATGGCCGATTAGTTGAATATTTTTCAAAAAATTAGAGGGAATAAGTGTCACATACTAATGTATTACTATTCATATATACTTAATATATTAAATAATAAATACATAAACTATTAAAATATGTAAGTTAATTGTGCGGGTCGGGTAATGGTGCGGGTAACCGTAACCAGATTAAACGGGGCGGGTAACGGGGCGGGTAGGTATAAATCCATAACTGCCCCATTATCCGTTTACATAAATCGGGTATTCCCCGCCCCGTACCCGTTACCCAGTCAAAGCGGTTTTCCCCATTTTGACCGGTTCGGTTCGGTGCGGGTATCCACCGGGTCGGGTTAAACTGCCAGTTGCCGCCACCACCACCGCCAACAGATTGATCCGGTATCCAAGAGAACTATGGGGGAATTAATTATATACTCCCTCAATCCCCCAATTAAGTTCCTCATTGCTTTTCACACTTACGGAGTATTAAGGAAAAAAAATTCTGGGGGTAAACTTTACTGTTTGGACACTGTTTAGCACTTTTTTGCACTGTTTGGCACTGTTTTGATGAAGTGTTTTTGCCAAATAAGGAAAGGGCAACTTAATTCAAGGACTACTGATATGCACTAATTAGTAGTGCATGAATGTATGTTTTTATGTTTGATTTGTGTGGATTATTTACCATTTTATTTAGTTTGTAAACATTTGTGTGATTTTAGTTGTAATTGTATTTTAGTCTTCATTTGTAAGTTGTAAAGTATCGTTAGGATTTGTGGTGTTGGAAAGGAATACTTTGAAGTGAAGAAAAAGAAGATCTGACTGCCCAGGAGTAAATACCCGATCAGGTATAACCCTTCACCCGGCCGGGTAAGAAGTGAAAACCAAACATGCTTGGAAATTGCATGGCCCGGTCGGTTTTCATGCTCAGTTTATAAATCTGATAAAAACAACTTTGAGAGTACTTGGTATTCTGTCCTTATAAATGGAAAACCTAATGGCTCTTTCAAACCTAATCGAGGGGGTAAAACAAGGTGATCCCCTTTCACCCCTTCTTTTCATTCTAGTTTCAGAAGTTCTTTCTAGACATTGTAACAGGTTGGTCACTGATGATACATGTATTCCTTATCACACACATCCTGCTTTACGTGCTATCTCCCATTTCAGCTATGCCGACGATCTGGTAATTTTCTCCAATGCTGGTAAGAAATCTATGAATGTCCTGAATGCTGTTATTAAGAATTATGAAAGATATTCTGGTCAGAGCATCAATAATAGCAAGAGTTTTTACATATGTGGTAAACATATCCCTAAGGCTACTTTGAATAACGTTGAAATGCATATCTTTTTTTATGAAAAAATTCTTCCCATTTCTGAGGCTATTGAGTTTATCAATAAGGAGCTGCGGGATGTCAGTGTGGTCTACCCGTTTATTACTGATGCTTCTAACCCTCCTCTGAAAGATATTGTCATTAAAAAACCGAAGTCAAATCCTAAAAAACATAATATCCGGATTATCAGTTGGGACAAACCCCCAACTGATTATATTAAAATCAACATTGCTTTCAGCAATTCGAGGGCCAGTGAGACCAACATGGGTCTTCTTATTCATGATTGCCATGGTCACCTTGTTCACTACACTTCGGAAACCCACTTTCATGAAGATACCACTGCCAATATCTTTGAAATCCTAATCAATCTTAAATGTTTACTTAATGAAAGGAATCATACTAACGTTATCATTGAATGCGATAACTCTCAGGTGATTCAGACTTTGAAGGGAAAGACACGACCAAGGTGGAAAGCGTATGCAAATTTGGAAGCTTTTAAAGAAAAGTTTCAAGATCTCAATTTCAGTTTTAATTGTATTCAAAAACCCTGTAATAGAGCTGCTAGATTCACAGCAAAG